CTCTGTAAGGTCGTCGCTCACCTGCCTGGAGACCAGCTCTCTCTGGGTGATTAGTTCTCCAGCATCAAAGCGAGCCACCACTGACTTGAGGATCTCGGTCGTGATGGACGGCAGCACGCGCTCATCATAGTCGTCTCCGATGCTGGTGAAGATGCGAGGCAGCTGGCTAGCAACGGGCCGGAAGAGGATGCGCAGTGTGATGTTGACATTCTGTAAATCTTTGCTACCAGTGATGACTGGCACATTACGTGGCCGAGAACGACAGTCAAAGATAATTGGTTTATGTACCCATGGGATGAGAAAGTGAGTCCTTCCCCTACCACAATGTCCTGTACTCCACGGAATCGGTCAAAGATGACAGCTCTGTGCCCAGCATCCACATTATATAAGGCCGAGTTCACCACGCCTCCTGCAACAGCTAAGGCCAGGCCAAACTTGCCAATGGACTCAAACACTTTGGCAGCCATGTTTTCTTCTGCTGGACCCTCTCACACCTGCTTCCACTCTGACCTCCACGTGAATTCAACCACGGAATACTTTTAACTGCTTGTTTGCTGGTGCCGTCAGGACTGGGACGTTTTCTTAGGTGTGGGCGTGACGTGGCCTGCACATTTCCACCGGGTCTCCCGGCTCTGGCGTGGAGAGTGGCCCCGCAGTTACAGGCTCCACGGTCCTCCATGCGTCTTTGAGGGGACACAGGACCCCTGTATGAAGCAGCCACTACCAGGGTCCCCCTGCAGCCTCCCACCGTCAGGCCCCTCTGTCATGGCAGCATGGGGGTGTCTTGCAGGATACTCCAGCGGCCACCCCACCCAGCCCAGTCACACAGGGCCTCAGCCCCAAACCAAGGCTAACCTGGGGCACCCCTTCTGCGTCTGTCCATCGTGAGCATGAGCCAGGGCCCTAAGGCCACTAGATGTACAAGTCCTGGCTGTCCTTCCTAAACCCCCCCTGTAATTCAGCCTGCACTCCTCCACTCTCCACGGCCACACTTTCCCTCACCTGAATACTGGCCTCCCTGACTGCGGCCTCCCCCCAGCCGCTGCCAGAGTGGTTTCTCAAATCCACAGCTCCTCTCCCCACCTTAAAAACAAAACAAAACTCTTTTAAGAACCAAAGCAGGGTTGGCCCCTGCTTCTCTCTCCAGCCTCGCCATCTCCCCATGATCACTGATCACGACTCCCTGCCCCACGCCGCACTTGGCTGGGAGAGAACTCCTTGCCTTTTCTCAAATGCTGTTCCGTCTGAAGGGGATGCGCTTCCCACCCTCATGGTGATAAGAGCTTCTCCTCTCTTATTCCTACTGGGAATAACAGCAGCAGCTGACACTAATGAGCACTTACCATGTACAAGTGTCCACTCAGCTACCACCTCCTCCGGGAAGCTTTCCGGGATGGATCCCTTAGCTATGACAAGCCACTCCTGGGGAATAGGCTCTTCTTGCCTATGGTTACAAGACAGCAAGGACTGTGTCTTGGGTGTCCTCAGTGCCTAGCCCAGGGCCTGATGTGAGTGCTGAGTCACATCATGTTTGGAGGAGCAAGTCCTGGACAACACAGCCCGGTTAAAGCGAGCAGCCAAGCACTGATACATGGACCAGCGCTGGCTGGAGGTTGAGCCAGACCATCCCCTTTCAAACGTGATCATTCGGAAACAGGATGGCTTGAAATTTGTTCTTGACAAAGAAGGATTAAGGGGCAAAGGAAAGCTGGAAACAAGATCACACATACACGTCACCTAACAGAGCACACGTAACTCCTGTAACCTGCCTCTAATCAGCTTCAGGCCTCTCTTCAATGCTGAGTCCTCAGTCATCACCCTGGGCCTCCCAGCTCTGATGCTGAGCCCAGGATTTCAGTGCTAATTATGGATGGTACCCGCCGCCTGATCAGCAGAATATCCACAGTGCAGCCTGCCCTGGGAAGGGAGGATGAGTCTCCTTCTAGGACACTCCACAAGGCTCAGTGCAGATGCTCCACTTGGGCTGGTCATGCATCACGGATTCCCTCCTCTGAGGGTGGCCCCAGGCTTGTGCGCACACACACATTCATTCCTGGCCTCACATGTGGGGACAGACAGAAGGCATCTGTGCCTTGTCCCCTCTTATCTATTCTCATAAACGTCCTTGTGTCTTGGAGTCAGGATTGCTTAGGCCCAGAAGGTCGAGGCTGCAGTGAGCCTCCAGGCTGCCCCAGGGGTCTCCCCATGGTGGGCGCTCATCACTCTGGCCAGCCCCATGCTCATCTGGGTTGACCTCTGAGAACTGCCAGGTTAGAGGGCCCCAGAGCAGCCAGGGGACCAGGAAGGAGACCACCTGGTCTAGGGGGGTTCAGGCAACCTGTGGTCTGGACAGGAAGGGATGCTGAAGCTCCTCTACCCATATGGAGGCCCAGCCCTGATCATGGTTCCAACTCTTAGGCCAGATACCACTGCTAGCTGTTTTCCAACCATCAAATATGAGGACCACATGGCAGGTTTTCCATAAGGCTCTGTTTATCCAGCACAAAGGAATGGCCTTTGTCCTGAGATTGTCTTCCTACTTTTTTTTTTTTTTTTTTTTTTTTTTTTTTTTTGGTTTAAAGATATTCTTTCAAAAAGGGAAATTATAATTATTTTTCTAAAGGCTCTAACATGAAAAAATAGAAAGTTGGCAATCTTCAGTAGGTCTGCAATACTCCTTTGAAATTTGACCAGCCTATGAATTCCGGATGTCTGAGAACCCCTGTGTGCATGCTCCCTGCTAAGGCCACCAGGGAGAGTCACCGGGTCACTGCTCCCTGTTTAGAACCTGCAGTGGCTCCCTATTGCCCTAGGATCTGCAGCCAAATTCCTTATCATGGCATCAAAAACCTAGGCAGGTGGGAAAAGGGAGGAGGAAAGGATCAGGGGCAGCTTCCTGGAGGAGGTGGAATCTGAAACAAGCCTTGCAGTATGAGCTTCCTGGCAAGGGGTGAATGGAGAAGGGAGGGGCAGGCTGAGAGGGCATTCCACGGGCAGGAGAACACCTCATGCAGGACAAAGCCGAGGTGGCTGGAAAACAGCTGGGGTGGTATCTGGCCAGCCAAGCAGGGACTGGGTTAGGGATGCAGAGGAAACTGAAGCCAGCAACACAGTGCTAGGGAGGGTAACATCCAGGGTTCTAAGTGAGTCTTTTTTTTTGAGACAGGGTCTTGTTCAGGCTGAGTGCAGGGGCTGCATCATGGCTCACTGCAGCCTCAACCTCCTGGGCCCAAGCAATCCTCCCTCCTCAGCCTCCCAAGTAGCTGGGACTACAGCCGTGCACTACCACGCCCGGCTAATCTTGTATTTTTAGTAGAGACAGGGTTTCACCATGTTGGCCAGGCTGGTCTCAAACTCCTGACCTCAGGTGATCCGCCCACCTCAGCCTCCCAAAGTGCTGGGATGACAGGCATGAGCCCCTGCACCCGGCCTTATTACTGTTATTATTATTTTTGTAGAGACAAGGTCTCACACTAACGTTGCCCAGGCTGGTCTGGAAGTTCTGAGCTCAAGTGATCTGCCTGCCTCAGCCTCCCAAAGTGCTGGGATTACGGGCGTGATGTGCTGCATTTGGCCCTAAGAGATTCTCGGAGAAGTGAGGTAAATTTAATTACGTCTACTTCATATTTAAGGTTTGGAGGGAAAGGGAGACCCACCAGGGAAAGTTGCCAGATCACCACTCCCTGTTTAGAACTTGTATTGCACACTGAGGGAGGACTGGGGAAAGGCCTAGAACCCCCAGGCTGGATTTTCTGCTGTCTGAGGGTCTGTCCGAGGCTGGCTGCCCTCCTCTGGTGCCCCATTTCACAGCCTCACCTGGTCCCTCCTTTTTGGGCCTGAGACTGGCTGGGGCTGCCCGTCTATGGGGCCTGGCTCCTTGTGCTCTGAGTGGAATGTGCCCCGGAGTATGATGCCCCCAACACCGGGGGCTGTCTCTGGTATCAGGTGGGGCTGCTGACTTCACACGTGCCAGGAGAACAGATGCTACAGGAAGTTACGGGTCCTTGGCAGCCTCATGCCGAGAGGCCCCACGTCTGCAGCCCCAGCCTCTAGACCTGCTGATGGGCATGTTGGCCAGGCTCTGTGCACCTGCGCACAGCTTTCTGCAGAAAGGCAAATTCCTCGCTTCCCCAGATGCTTGGGTGGGGGAATGTTCCTGTTGGACAATGGAGCCCCGAAACCCAGTGGGGATCTCCCAGGAGAAGCCTGCTCCCACCTCCCAAGAAAGGCTCTGAGCCTCTTTCCAAGTACTGGAAATGCCAAATGCGGTGTGGCCTGTGGCCATCCGCCACAAGCAGAGTAACCCGCACTGGTGGGCATTCACCTATCCAACTGTGAGGTCATTTAATGTGTCCTGGGTACTGCTGTGCTGTGGGAATTCAGGAGTCCCTGCCCAGCAGAAGCTCTCCGTCTAGTGGGCGATGATAAGATTGCCCGAGCAGGGCCTCGCTGTGGGAAGGATGATAAGCGCAGCACTCTCAGAGGGCCAATCCGGCCAATCCCAACTTGGAACACTCAGCTCCATTAGTCCTCAAGGCATCTCTGGGGACAGACTCAGCGCTTGGGGTTGACTGTTCCCAGGCCAGCAGGCTGGACAATGGCAGAGCAGGCGGGATCTGGGGGAGTGCCGTCTTTACCACTACCCTCCCAGCACCTGCTGAGAGACCCCAGCTCAGGAAGTGCCTCTAGAGATCACGGAAGGCAACCTGCCTCATTGTTCAGGGGAAACTGAGGCTGGGAGAAGATGCCCCAGGCCCCACTGATGTGTCAGAGCCCCAGCAGGGTGGTAGGCTCCAGGCTCCCCAGCCAGCCATTCCTGCAAGGTGCACCCACCTTTCTGGCAGGGCAGAGGGCACTCCCTGCAGCTGGAGAGGGATTCTCCTGGCAGGAGGGGTGGAGGTGGGGTGAGGTGGAGGCACCTGGCACCTAGGGTCGTGGGGGGGCCCTGGCAGAATAAGTGGGGTCTCCTGGCATCAGGGGAAGCTGGGGGAAGGGGTCTGGCAGAGGGGGCTCCCGGCAGGGAAGGTGAGGGGCTCCCAGGCCAGGCCGGGCCGCCCGCCCAGACGCGCTGCCAGGCTGATTAGCATGGGCGAGGGGCGCTGGCGCGGGGGCGCCGCCGGCCAAGCTGGCACGTCCCTCGCGGGCCCAGCTGGCCGGGCCGAGACACAAAGCGCCTCAGACGGTGGCGGCGCTCGGCCATTCACGCGCAGGGGCGGCCCGGGCGCGGGCGGTGAGGAATTCCCGCCGCCGGGGCGAAGAATAGCGCCTGGGCCAGGCGGGGCTGGGCCGCCCGGTGCTCCTGACCTTGAACCTTTGTGACTGGAGCGCATGCAAATCGCGGCGGGGCCGCGCCAAGCCCCGAGGGCGCAGCACCACCCGGCGTGTCCAGGGAACAATGCGCCACTGTCCCCGCGCGGCGCCGCGGGCTGGGAACGGCGCGGAACGCCAATGCGGCCCCCGGCGCGGCGGGGCGCGGCCCACGGGAACGTGCGTGTGCGGGTGTGTCTGGGTGTGCGCGTGTGTCCGCGTGTTGGCCTTGGCTGAGCTCGA